GGAGGGTTGTACTGACTGACTGCACTGGTGCCTTACTATTCTATGTGGAAATAGCCATGTTGGGCTGAAGGAAGCTTGGAAAAGAAAAGATGTCCCAGGGACACGAGAACCACTTTAGGGCATCTGAAGGACTATCTCGTGCAACAGGGATTAGACTTGGTCTGTTTGGCCTCCTGAAGGCAAAACTAGGAAAAACAGGTAAAGGTTGGTGAAATTAAGATAGTGGCTTGGTATAAGAAGTGGAGCTATCTCAGCCAGAGTGGAACAGGCATCCTTGGGAAAGAACAGGTTTTTGGGGCAGCTAGATGGCGAAGTGGATAGAGCACCGGCCCTGAAGTCAGGAGGACCTGAGGTTCAAATCTGCCCTCAGACCAAACACTTGACACTTGCTAGCTATGTGACCCTGGGCAAGTCACTGAACCCCAATTGCCTTAAAAAAAAAAAAGAGTAGACTTCCCCTCAATGGATATCTGAGCTTTAGTTTTCTCATTTTTAAAATGAGAAATGTCTAAATTCTATGTTAAATCCATATTAGTTCCTAATATAAAGACCATTACTCCACAATCTGTATAGTCTTGCCCTATTAGAATGTAAGCTCCTTGAGGGTAAGAACTGTCTTACCTGCTTCTATTCACTTAGAAAAATGGCAGACACCGTTTTCAGAAGAAGAAAGCAAAGCTCTCAATAGTCACATGAAGAAAATGCTCTAAATAACTACTGGTTAAAGAAATGCAAATTAAAACAATTCTGAAATACTACCTCACACTATCAGATTGGCTAAAAGAAAACGAAAAGGACAAATGCTGGAGAGGCTGTGGAAAAACTGAGATACTAATGAATTGTTGGTGGAGTGTAAACTTAGTTCAACTGTTCTGGAGAACAATTTAGAACCGTGTCCAAATGGTTATAAAACTGTGCATATTCTTTGATCCAGCAACATCACTACTAGGCCTGTATCCCAAAAGAGATCAAAGAAAATGGAAAAGGACTTATTTGTACAAAAATATTTATAACAGCTCTTTTTGTGTCAAAGAATTGGAAAATGAGAGGATGCCCACCAACTGGGGATTGGCTGAACAAGTTGTAATATGGGATTGTGATACAATACTATTATGCTATAAGAAATAAGGAGCAGAATCATTTCAGAAAAACCTGGGAAGACTTATATGGACTGATGCAAAGTGAAATAAGCACAACCAGGAAAACGCTGTATACAGTCACAGCAGTATTATACAATGATCAGCTGTGAAAGACTTAGCTACTCTGATTAAGGTAATGATCCAACACAATTTCAAAGAACTCATGATGAAAAATGCTACCTACCTCCAGAAGGCAAACTGATGAACTCTGAATGAAGACTGAAGCATGATTTGTTTTTATTTTTTCCCCTAGGGTTTTTTCTTTTGCAACATGGCTAATATGGAAATATGTTTTGCATGACTTCACATGTATAATCGATACCAAACTGCTTGCCTTCTCAAGGAAGAGGGAGGGAGTGTCAGGATGGTGGGAGAGAGTTTGGAACTCAAAATTTTAAAAAATGAATGTTAAAGATTTTTACATGTAACTGGGAACTATTTTTAAAAATAAAATTTCAAAATGCCTGACACATACATAGTAAGCATTTTAAAATCCTTTTTCATTCATTCATCAATAACGAAAAGAAGACAGGATTTAAAGACAGAGGATCCAGAGACCTGTATTCAAATCCTCCTTCTTCCTCCTTGATGTACATTTCCTGATTCACCTTACTTCTCTAAGTCTGCTCCCACTATAAATGAGGGAATGAGGCTGAGACCTCTGAGGCCCCTGCCAGCTCCAAGCTTCCTGATCCTAGGATGATGCCTAGGACTTCCTTTCCATGTGTTTCAGTTTCCTTACCTGTAAAAATAAGAGCCCTGAAGTCTTTTCTAGTTCTACATCCTAAATAGGTGGCATTTACGCAGCAGTTCACAGAACTAAGTCAGTGGCTCCTCAGTAAGCTACAAGGTAGACAGGATAATTATTATTATTCCTTATTTTACAGATAAAGAAGCTAGGGCTCAGGAAAGTATCTTGACCAGCTCATAAGTAGCAGAGAACTGGAACTGGAACCAAATTCTCTGTCTCCAAATCCAGGCTCAGAACCTGTCCCTGTCCTCCTTCCAAACACTTCCTTCTCTCTAATTTCAGATCCTTTTGAAGGGAAGAACTGCCACCCCAAATACCTCCAAAACCATGGAGTGACCTGGAGCTGCTTAACTGGCTGGTCCTTCTCTGAACCAAAAGGTAAAACCATATCTGAAAGAAAATCTTCCATTTGAGGACTTTTGTATCACTTGCAAAACAGCACCCTCTCTCCCAAACCTTTCACTCTTTTTTTTCTTCCCTTTTTTTCCTTCCCTGCTTTTCACTCAGAAAATTCCTGAGAGGGAGAAATATAAATTCAAAATTTCAAATTATGTTGTCATTGGAATTATGATGGCCAGCCTGCATAACCTGTCCCCCAGCCATCTTCTCACAGCACTAGGTCTGAACTTATTTGTCATGTGATATATATTACAGTGACCTGTGCCTTATGAGGGCAGAAAGAGTTATCTAAATGTTACATCTCCCTCCTAAGATGGCCTAAAACACAACTTGGTGTACAACTGGCCATCATTAATAAAAGTCTGCTGAATGAGTGAATGTTGAATTAATTGCTGTTAACATCTAAGTAAATCTTTTGTTCTCTAACAAACTAGGCTAAAAACCTCAAAGATTTTAAAAAGGCTGACCCCAGACCCGGACACTTGTAAAAATCCTCTCCCCTCCCATTTTAGAGTGAAAATATCAAGAACTGGGGAAAAAAAAAAAAGAGATGTTATGAATAATTATTCAGGTAGTATAGAAACTGCAAAAAATTGTGAAGCAACAAGGGAAAAAGAATAATAGTGTAAAACCCCCATCCACAGTGGCTAAGGATGTTTTTGCCATCACAATTTCTCTGCTAAAACAAAAGACAGCACACAATTGGTCATGTGATAGCAACACACGCTACCATGGCCAAAATGTTGAATCATGCAAATAGTCGATGTTTGAGAAAGAAGAAAACCAGATGGTCAAAGAATTAACTAGCAAAGTTCTATTATCTTTTCCAGAGGCCAGGGAATGAATCAATTTTATAGCAATTTTTCAAAAAGTTATATTTTAATCCCAGCCAGCCAAAATAGCTCAATAAGAAAGCTACGGAAGCTACTATTTTTTTTTCTAATGCTATGAATCATAACTTATATTTACACAGCGCTTTTTAAGGTCAACAAAACTCTGAATAGACTTTATCTCATTTGAGGGTCACAATAGCCCCATGAAGTAGAAACCTGAGATATCATTTATCCCCATTTGACAGATGAGGAAATGAAGGTTCAGAGAAGTCAAGTGACTCAGCTCAGTAATGTAGCTAGGAAGTGTCAGAAGCCAGATTAGAACTCAGCTGTCTCCTGACTTTAAACCTAGAAATCTTTCCACGAGATAGCCATTTCCTAAAATGTTTTGTTCTCAAAAAACATTTCTCGCCTCACAAGTGTCTTGGCTGGATATTACCGATTCTGTGTCTATCTTAAGCTCCCCTTGGTTCCAAGGCGATAGGAGCTGTCAAGAAATGCACATTTTAGCTTTAGTGACTTTCAGCAAAGCTAGAAAGAAGCAGAGAGTGGGCTAAGGACCACAGGGAATCCCCTAACCAGAGGAAAAGGAAAACAAGCCATGGAAGAACCCTGCACAGAAGGGCTCTCAGAAAAACAGCGGGAAGGGAGAAAAGGAAGAAAACAAGCGTGTATTAAGGACCTACTGTGTGCCAGGCACTGCGCTAAGCAATTTACAGAGATCTCATTTGAACTGAAGACAACAACTCTGGGAAGTAGGTGCTGTTATTATTCCCATTTTACAGTTGAGCAAATTGAGGCAATGAGTGCAATGGCTTGCCCATGATTACACAGCTTGTACGTGTCTGAGGCTGGACTTGAACTCAGGGTCTTCCTGACTCCAGGCCCAGTTGCCTCAGGAGAGGGCTGGACCAGGAGAGGTTGGGGAACAGTTTTATCACAGAGGCTTTTCCCATCTCCACAAGGTGCTCCTAATAGAATCTCACCTTAAACACTCTTATTTGGGGAAAGAATCTTACCCACCCACAAACCTCCCTCACAACTCTGTCACAGCGGAAAGAGTTTAGAACTTTGTGTTAAAAGACCAAAGTCTGAATCTCTTTTTCACTGATTAATTGTGACTTTGGGAAAAGTCACTGATACCTCTGAAGTCACAAGGTTAGCATGCGCAAAATGGGGGAAGTGCGAAAGGTGGGATAATGGACTCTATTGGCCCTTCCACTTCTAACACTAATAGCTAAGGTCTACTCACTCAGCTCTGGCTCAGAGCCAGCTTCCTGCCAGCTCCAGCTCCTAACTTCTATGTGCCAGAGCCCTCCTTCTGCCTCTGAGGGTCTGCGTTCTATGGGCTATCCAAACTCTAATACTGTGCTCGAAGGGCCCTCCCATCCCTGACATTCTATGTTCTAAGGCCCCTCCCAGCTCTGACATCCCATGTTCTTAGATCCTTCCCAGCTCTGACACCCACGTTTTAAGAGCCCTCCCAGCTCGGACATCCCATGTCCTAAGGGCCCTCCCAGCTCTGACACTCTCTGACCCACCCACACACACACACTCTCTCCACGTTCTAACAAAGGTTCCCTCTAGCCCACGAGTCCAGGGATCCCCGGTGGTCTCCCGTCGGACAAGAGCCTTCAATGGGGGAGGGCAGGAGGGACGAGGCCCCGGGGGCAGGCACAGCGGGGCCCCCCACGCTCCGAGGCAGGAGCCGAGCCGGGCTGGGTCTCCCGGAGCTGCTCTGGGCGGGCGGCCCCGCAGAGACAATGGGCTGGCTGGGCGGGCGAGCGGGCTCGGAAGGGGCCCCGCTGGGCCCCACGCCGTGCTCCCCGAGGGTCTCTCCCGTCCCGTCTCTCGTGCCGGGTCCCGGGCGCCCCTCACCTTGACGAAGAGCTCGATGACGGGCTCTTTGTCCTCCTCCTTCAGCCCGTTCACCGGCATCGACAGCGCCATGGCCGGGCTCGGGTCCTCGGGCTCCGCGAGCTGCTAGCTACTGGTCCGGCCGCGCGCCTCCGTCCGCTCGAGCTCCCGCACTCGCACTCGCTCGGGCGCTCCCTCCGGGCCGCTCGGACTCCCTCCCGGACCAACCCGACGCTCTGCCTGCACAGCGCGACTGAAAGGAGGCGGCGGCCGGCGTTTATGCCCACTCTAACGGCCGGCGGGGGCGGGGCCAGTGCGCCTCGTGCTACCCGCCCCTCCGCCTATCCCCACGCCGAGGTTCCTCCGAGCCCCGCCCCATCCTCCTTCTGGTCCCGCCCACACCCCTCTCCTTGCTCGGTACCGCCCCTCCTGTCCTCCTCCCCTCCTTCTCCTCCTCTCGGCTCCACTTGCCCCCTCCACGTCCCCCTCCTCACTCTCCCTTACGCTCGCCATCCCCATTCCCTTCGATCTTCCTCCTCCACAATCTCCCGGCTCTCCCCTTCGTCTCCCTCCCTCTCCTCATCCTCTTTCCCAAACTCCCACCACCACTTTTCCGTTATCCTCTTCCTCTCTCCTTTCCCCCTCTACACACTTCCTTCATTCTCTTTTTCTCAGTCAACAAGAGTTAATAGCTTACTATGTGCCTCGCACTGTGCTAAGCGCTGTGGGGATACCAATACAAGCTAAAAGAAAGCCAGGACCTGCCTCTTCTCCCTCTCTGTTTCTCTCTCTCTCTCCCTTCCTTCTCAGACCTCCTCCTTCTCTAACTCCTGCCTTCTGCAAGCTTTTCGCGTATCTCAATTTTAATGCCTTCCCTCTGAGACTACCCCCAATTTATCTTGTTTATACATTGCTGTTTCCCCCATTAGACTGGGAGGGCCTTTGAAGGCAGGGATTGGTTTGTTTTCTTTATTTTTTTTTTGGTTTGGTGTTTTTTTGTGTGTTTTTTTTTTGGCCTTTCTTTGTATCCCCATCGCTTTGCTCAGTGCCTGGCACGTAGCAGACTCTTAATAAATGTTTGTTTCGCTCCTTAGCACAGTGCCTGGCACTTAACAAATGCTTGTTGACTGACAGGAAGGGGTACAATTTGTACACTGCTAAGTATAATATAAGTAGGGTAGGATGGGAGAGGTAAGGACAAAATGTCTAGAAAAACAGGAGAGATCACTTTTAGCTGGGGACTGGGGGAGATTTTCTCTGTTCCTTAACCATCCTCTCCTTTCTTTCCCCTTCCCTTTCCCCGGTCCCTCCCAGCTCCCTCCTGGCTCAGAAGGGGCGTGGTCTCCTGGAGTTGCGGCGGGAGCCAGCGCTGGTCCCTCTCCTCCCCATCCCCATCCCCATCCCAATCCCCGTTATAGAGAGGAAGGGGTGGGGCCGGCGCTCTGGCGCTATTGTTCTCCAGGGCCAAGCTGGCTCCCAGGAGCTGCCCGGAGCATCTGCTCCCCTTCCCCTTCCTTAGGGGTGTGGACCCTCCCTAGCAGAGGGGTGGGCAATGCTTTCGGGGTGAGAGGGCCAGTTCTTGGAGTCCCCCTCCCGCCTCTCCCCCGGGAGTGGAAGGGAAATTCCCCAAACGGCCCGGAGCCTAACTCTGCCCTCAGCTGCAACGCCCGCCCTTCCTTCGGCAGCTGCTGCTGGGGCTGTGCCCAGTGACCTCATGTCTGAGGAGGCCCCTCCTGGCCGAGGAAGAAGCTGTTCACCCCCCCCTTCCCCCCTTTCCTTCCGCCACCACCCGCTGAACCTGAGACCCTAGGAATTCTTTAAGCCCAGTAACCCCAGCCCACCCCCTTCCCGAATGTGGCTTTTTGCCTGCGGAGTCATCCTGCCCTTCTCCACCCTTCCTTTTCTTTTTTTTTTGCTTTTTTTTTTTTTTGCTTTTGAGAGTATCGCTTTCGTGCAGCTAGCACTGCCCTCGGCACTCCTTAGGATGGACACACATCCCGGGGAAGGAAAAAGAAAGCCAGATTGGTCACAGGCTGCCATCCCACCGGCCTGAAATTCACTAGCTCCCCATCTCTGCCTCTTATAATACTTGGATTTCATCAAGGCTCAGCTCAGCTGTCACCTCCTCTTGGAAGCCTTGCTGGATTTCGCTAGCTGTTCCTGTTCTCTCCCTCCTCAGATTCTGGTCCTACCCTCCCTGCATTCCTCCTAAAATGTCCTTCAGAATTAGGACTGCCCTGGTTTGGTTTTCATCTTTGTACCCCCAACCTTGTACAGAACAGTTTGATCATACTTACTGAACAGGAATAAGACTGATGATCCTTTGCTCTTTTTTTTCACATGGGAGAGGAAGAGGGAGTTGGGAGTCATGGGACAAGAATATAACCTGTTCACAAATAAGTCTAAGAAAGGGAAAGAAAGAGCAATAATCACTCCCAGGTCTGACATTTTGTGTTCTAAGGCCACTTCCATCTCTAACATTCTAGTTCTAAGGCACCTGTCAGCTCTTCTGATCTTCTGTATTGTAGGTCTTGCCCAGCTCTGACATTTTGTGTTCTGAGGTCCCTTGTAGCTCTGCCATTCAATGTTCTAAGGTACCTCCCAGGGCTGATACTCTATGATTCTTCAGAAAATTCTCAGGAGGGGGTAACTTCATAGCTCCTGGGCTCTCTTCTTCCTAAAGTCTGACATCTTGTTTTTCCTTGGATAGGCCTACTAAGTAGTCCACTAGAACTGCCTGTCTTGGGTTCTATAGCCATCCACAGCTCACTTTAGTTTCCAGGCAGCACTACAGGGTGTCCAATTAAACCAGGACCCCAAGTGAAGGCTTAAATGCCTTTCAGACAAGGCCTTGAACCAAAGTGAACTGTGGACAAAAACAAATAACAACCACAAAAAATGTCAGAATAAACTGCCCTAATTGACTAAGCCCTGAATTGACCTCACATGTTAATGTTTTTACTGAACCCAAAGTTTAAAAAAAATGGGCAAACCAGTTCAAACTGGAACAAAGCCTTTCTATTTTCTTAAGCTAGTGAATCCAACAAGTATGGGATGGCCTAAGAGCCTTCCAAGCTGACCTGAATCTAAGTGATGCTTCTCCTATTGTCCTGCTTTGAAAGCCAATTAAGGGGAGGAGGCCTCAACTGACCCAGGTGTGCCTGGGGTCTCATAGCAAATGAGTCTGAAGAGGTTATTTAAACATATCTTAGAGATGAAACAATGGCAGGAATGCAAGGGATGCCTGCTCATCCCCCTCCAAACAGTTTCCCTCTTCTCACACCAGGCAGGTTTGCTCTAGAGAGCCCCCAGGGGCTGTTGGCTTCCAGAGCATGGTAGAGGCGGGAGGGGACCCAAAGCCAGACTGGAGTCTCCCAGTCCCAGCTGGAGTCACACACTGGGAGGTAGAAAGCTGGGAACAGATTGGTTCTGGGCTCTTGTAATGATGAAGCCCTGCCCGGAGCCAAGTTTACCAGATTCTGGGTGTGCCAAAGCTTCTGGGAAGCCCTCCCTGAAGATCCTGGCCCATACTGTCCTCTCCATGTCTGAAAAAGACTACTTGACTCATCTGCTTGTCTGTCTGTCTGCCTATCTGTCTGTCTATTTTCTTCGTCTTCTGAACTTTGTAATTACTGTTTGCAAGCTCCCCTGACACTTAGGGGGATAGACACCTCAGATATCAAGCTTTTCCCCCCTTCCCATCTCTTCTGATCCTTAGAATTGAGCAAGGACTGTTTCATTTTCTTGGTTTTTTTTCATCTCTATGTCCCTAGAGCCTAACACAGTACCACCTGGCATATCATAAGTGCGTGTTGAACTGAATTCAATCTAGTTCAATATCTTCATTTTTTAAAACAAATAAATTTTAGGGGCAGCCAGGTGGGGCAGTGAATAGAGCCCTGGCCCTAGAGTCAGGAGGACCTGAGTTCAAATCCAACCTCAGACACTTCACACTTACTAGCTGTGTGACCCTGGCAAGTCACTTAACCCCAATTGCCTCACTGAAAAGGAATAAAAAATAAATTTTATTAGTAGCTTTTCTTTTCACGTCACCTAGATTTTCCCAATATCCCATCTTTCCTTTCTCCCAGAAAATCATGCTGTATAACAAAGAATTTTTTTTAAGTAAAAGAGGAAGAAGAGGGGGGAAAAATCAGCCAAACTAATCAATACATTTGAAAAAAATATGACATTGTATGCAATGTTGTGCACCCATGACCTTGGAGATGTTTTGGAGCCAGCTCATACCAGATCAAGAGAGGAAATTGTTTAATTTTCAATATGAGTTTTGAAAACCTACCAAAAAGAGATGAGTATTGAGCAACCTACCAATCAGGACTTGAGTTATTTTTTGGTTGATTATCCAGATTTAAGAAAGTGATGGAGAAAATGTTAATGCTTCAGATTAGACTTAAAAGCATGTTTTATATACTTTTTTTTTCCTGGAGAAGCAGTTATTAAACATTTACCCACACATCCCCGTGTGAATCTCCCGCCTCTGCAAAAGGATGGAGAAATGTCTTCTCACAGCTCTTCTCTGAGGCCAAGCTTGTTATTTACAAATTTGCAATATTCATTTTCCAATTTTGGGGTTGTTCTTTCCATTGAGATAGTAGTCATAGCACATATTGTTTTCCTGATTCTGTTTTTTTTTCAGTTTGTGTAAATCTTCTCATGTTTCTCTGTACTGATCATATTACATTCATATGCATGTTTAACCATTGTCTAATCAGTAGGCATCTGCTTTATTTACAATTCTTTGCTACTACAAAAAAAGCGCTGCTATAAATATTTGGGTATGAATATGGAGCTTTTTTTTCCAGTCATTGTTCTCCTGAAGATATGTGCCCAGCAGCACCAACTTAATTTTATAGATGAGAATAAGATAGGTAACTTGATATACCCAAGGTCACATAAATAATAAGTATCAGAGTAAAGATTTGAATCAGGATTCTCTCTATCTCCAGATTCATCATTCTTTCCAGTGGGCCCAGCTGTCTTTCATGTATTAAACTACCTTGTATTATATTGTATGCACTTTTATTTGACCTATTTTTTCTATTTCCTATCTCCTATATCTATTTCCTATTTCTATTTCCTATATCCTTTTTCCTATATCTATTTCATATATATATTTATATTCTATTTTCTATATTCCTATATCAGGGAAGAAAAAATGGGATATACATATGTAAGGTGGGGTTCAAAGGTAGTTCTCCTCATTGGTAGATACCGGAGGGGCAAAGCATTGAGCAATCTGTTCT